CCATTACAAATGTTTGCAATTTAATGATGTAATTCATTCTATTATCTTTCTCCACTGACACCATGATTTTAAACTCACTGTTGTGGCAGAAGCCTGCTCACATATTTCTTTAAACATTCAATTTGCAACTGATTTTTTTTTCCTTCCTTTTTTTTGTTGTTTCAAATGCCAGATGAGAGGGGCAAAACACAGCGATAATCAGGTGTCTCTTCAGCTGCTCCAGCAAAGAAAGCAAGGAGATGCACGGAGGGACTTGGTTTCCCTTCTACCCTTTGTCTTGGAGATCAAAGGCTGGAGCCAGGTCTTCAAAGCCTTGACAGAATCACAGAAATCAAATATTGAAATGATCTGCTGGTCCCATCTTGTCCATCACCACCCAGGGCCAAAGAGAAGATTGTTCTTGCAAGTTTTCAAAGCTTTATCCTGTTTACTACTTTTTAGCGCCATACCTCAATGCACCAATTTTAGCACATTTAGCAGCTTTGTTGCTTTCAGTTTCCCTTGGATCTTAAGTCAAAAGCAGAAGTCTTTCAGCACAGTTAGTGAAAAGAACCAACAACCAAATGAAGTGAACCAAACATTTTTGACCCGCTGAAGGACTAATGTCCATTCTACAACACCAGATTTTAACAGAAAAATGTGATTAATGATGCATTCTTCCCTGCTTCTACACTTATGACATGTTTGGAAATTGCTTCTTTCGCCACTCGGCTCCCTTGGCAAGCTGGTGCATCCGCAGCCAGGCGCTCACAGCTCCGGCTGAGCCCGGACCTCCTTTGCCCACAGAGAGGTGAGGAACATTATGGAGATCAGAAAGAGTGCTCTGGTTCATCTAGGATCAGCCACGTGGAAATGCAGGATCCAGCACAATGGAAGGACTCAGTTAAGAAATAAAAAAATTAAAGCAAACCCAGCCGAGCTTTTCTTGCTTAGAAAACAGCACCGTGCTTGTGCAGGGGCTCCACAGCTACCCAGAGATTTCCTGACCTTCCTGTGACGACCCAGGGAGATAAAGGCAGGGCAGGCATCAATTACGAGTCAAAGGGTGAGACACTGCAGATGCCAGAGAGAAGCAGAAACTCTTTTAAACTCAATCAATGCTGACCCATAGGAATCACTAAAAAGAAGTCATCAAAGAGAAAGAAAGGGAGCTCACACTGATGGACACATTCATGTTTCCTCTTTTCCCTTCTTTACTTGGTTCATAGGTTCTAAAACTACTCCGTGCTCCATTTTTCCTCAGATTATATGATGCACAAAGAATGATAAATATCTATTAAAAAAAAAAAAAAACAGAAAAGAGAATGCTTTGGCTTTCTGACCTCAAGGAGGGGCACACATGCCTTGCATTTGGTCCCAAATTCAGGAGTTGAGCCAGGCGGCACCTTCCACCATGGGCCCAGCCTGAGGCTGATGGTGGCCAAGACACTTTTCTCCAACATGCTTGGCATGAAGCATTCAATATTGTTGGAGGCTCAAGCTTTTCTTTCCATCTATCACTCCTTCTCTGGGCTAGGATAATAAGAAAGAGACCCAATACCTCCTAACTACTGCAGTGCCCTTCTTCCCATAGCTCCTGTGCACATACTAAACCCACTAAGGCGCTGGCAGGGCAGGCTGAGCGCAAGGCACGGAGTCTGCCCCTACAGCACTCTGAATACCTGTACCAAAAGCTTAATATGGAAACTAAGGGGGCCAATGACCCTCTTTGCAAAATTATAAATTGGTTTATGATGAGATGACAATGACATCCCATCTTTCAGAATTAATATTCAAATCCACCGTGAGAACGAAATCATAAAGCCTAATAGTTATTAGATTACAACAGATTTTTTCCTTCAAGAGCTGTCTCAAGTTCCCAAGCAGGCCACTAATTCCTCTCCCCTTCCTTGTATGCACTTCTGGCTCACAGCCATTTCAGAGATCAGACAAATTCCAACTGCTGAAATGAATCCACTGTTTCAGGTTTAAGGAAAATGCAGGATCTCTTTCGTATGGAGGTGGGAGTCAAATGTCCAGCTATAACCATCACTCCAAACGCGCAGTTTAAAGTGGTTGTCCTATAAAGCAAAACTACTGTACTGGAAGAGTGCTTTGCTCACATATATTACACATAGAGAAGTCATACATATTGATGGGTGATGGAATAAGTCATAAACATTAGCAGAGTAAATTACAGCTGGTATCCGCCCTTTAAAAACATTCCTGGAAGACAAAAACCTAGCAAACAATAGCAACATTTCTTTGGAGTGCTGGAAAAATATTGTCAAAAATGGGTTCTTTAAAAACACCATCATCATCATCAAAGCCCAAGTAAGCATTAGCAGTGATCAATAAATTGTGTTTTTTCCCCCCTTATTGCCACAGGCTGAAATTTTCAAAGAGAAATTACAAATAAAATAGGCATCCAAATATAATTATTTCCTTGTGACTTAAATCATCTTCAGAGCAGGGCAGCTGTAACAATTGTGTTATTCTGTAATCTTTGCCTCCTATTTATAACCTGAGACCAAAGTTTCAGTAACTCCCCCCAAAACACTCTATAACAAACATGGTTCCCCCAATTCTAGGGAGAAAAGAGAATAATAGGTTTAAATAGCACCTGCATACTATAATGATGAGCACTTAAAGAAAAAAGAAACACCTTTGCACAGAACACAAGTTTTCAAACCATATTCTCTACCTACTGAATCCCACGCTCATTCAAATGTGGAGAGTTATGATCACTGCATTTCACATTTGCAAAACATCATTCCCCTTCCAGTTTCAACAACACAATGTTTTGAAAACACTGCCTTTCAGAAACGTAGCTATATGTAGGTTATCTGAGCAGTCTGCCAAAAAATGCCAGGACAACCACAGGAGATATTAATAAAATGGAGTTTTCAGTTGCTTTAGTTGAACTTGAAATGCAAGGAAATAAATATACAAAGCAAAAATCAGAAGAAATATCACCATAGATATCTAATATAAAACTTGCTTACCACTATGTTTCCTCATCACTACATCACTTAGAAATTAGGTGTAGGCATAGGGATTGCACCCATATCCTTCAAGCCTGAAGGTGACTCTTGCACAAGGCACAAATTCCATAGTCATAGAAACTATATTCCATAAAAGCAGCAGATTCTCAGATATAACTTACTGTCAATTGCCCAAATATTTTAGAATTGTTTTTAATCAAATTTTCCACCTGCTATGCCAGAAGCAATCAATTGTGTTTAAAAAAAGACAGCAGATGACAGTGTTCATAACCAAATTACAGGTTCAGTACAATGATTCCAGAGCGAGATTGTCCAAACACAGTAAAAAGAAGGATGTCCAACGCGCTGTATCCGGCCTAGCGCAGGTACATGGATTGCTGAACCAGCTGGGAGAAATTGCTCCCTGTTTTGCATGGAAGTTAATCTCAAAAGTTAATTATGATTGTTATTTTTACTCCATTGTTTTATACATCTGTTTTTATTTATAAATATACTCCTGCTTTGCTGGCCATGCACATAAGAATCTCCACCCTCTAATAATTCCAGGAACATCAATCTTGAGGAAATGCAACTCCCACACTTTGACTGTTTCACAGGAAAAACAAGGTTGTTATGCAACACTACACTGTTCCAAAACGACTCCAAGTCAGATGCTCAACTCAGGCAGTTTCAGAGACAAGAGAGAGAGGAGAGAGAAAGAGAGAAAAAAAGGCAGTTTATCAGCTATGGAACAAATTCACAGAAAATTGCAAACAGCGGCCTGATAATTAAAAGGCATTGGGCTTCTCCACAGCAAAAGAAACAGATTCAGGATCTACAGCCCCACACATGCAAGTATTTAGGATTCCATAAATCTTACAAGGGCTTCCAGAAACCCTTGTATGACTTCCTATTTTAACTACAGATTGACCAACAAATACACACGCTTCCTACACCACTTCTCTAACATTTTCTACTAAAGAATTTTTTTTTTACTCCCGAACTCATCATAAATTAAGTAACATTGCCAAGCTTTGTTTGTGAAGGAAGGATCATCAGAGATAACCTCTTCTCCACAGATAACCCCAACTGAACAGAGCTGAGGCACAAGTTCCTCCCCCTCATTTTGCTTAACTAGATCTTTTTCAGACTTGACATTCCTAAGGATTAATAAAGTCAATAATTTTTCAAAAATTCTTCTTTTAGAATACATTTGGGTTAATTTAAAAAAACTTGCCAATATATAAGTAAATAATGCTAATAAATTCTAAATACCATAAAGGCAGCTAAACTGCTCTGTAAAGTCCTGCAGTTAACAAAACAACCCACCAAGCCTAGCTCCAGAGCTACTTCTTAACCACGCACACTAGCACTTACTGAGTAACAATTTCAGACAAATTAAAAATAACATATCCATCTTAAGCAAAAGATTATTTTTCAAGTATTCAACTTGCAAATTTTAATAGAGATTAAAAAAATGCTATGGAATACTTGATAATTACAGACACCATTTATCTGTTCTACGTTTTATCAAGATGACACCTCCAACACTCAACACAGAGCGAGGACAAAGTGCCTCCTACCCGTCACGGAGGCGCTTTGCAGAGCTCTGCGCTCGGCCTCTCCCGGCAGCCTCTCCACAGAGCCTGACCTGACGCTGTGGAAAGCAGGAGAGGGGTAGAGGCACAAGGTGCTGGGACTCCCATCACAACCCTACAAACAGATGCTCTGCGAGAGATAAAACCCCAGGAACTCAGTCGATAAAACTTTCCAAGATCACAAAAGTGTGTGCAGGACACCTGTTAAGAGCAAAAGCCTTCGCTCCACTTCAAATGGCCAATTATCCGGCATGAGATCAGAGGCTGGTCAGCACAACTAATTAGGGCTTTCCCAGCCTTTTTAATTTACAAATTGCCTCTCCGTGCCTTCCCTCACATTCTGCGAGTTATCACAAATGTCTACCAACACAACTGGGCAAGTATTTCAAAGCAATTCAGTTCTCTATAGAGTTAATCCAGTGCATTCAAAATAACTTACCCACTAATAGCTTCACATCTCTGACGGTGAAATCCGGGTCAGGCATTCTATAATTAGCAAAGAAAGCAACGTTAAATACCATCAAGATAAGTATGGGAACACTTTCGTTACCATAATAAAAGAAATAAATGTATAGTGCTCTTTGTCCATAAAGCAGTAGGGGCATCAAGCAAGGCCTCAGTGGTGTGTGGACAGTGTAATTTTTAATGACATACATAACATCTTCGTATTGGCAAGTGCACAAAAGTCCCTCTGCTCATAAAAAGAGGAGGAAAGAGGTGCTTTTTCAAGCACTCTCTAGCAACAATTTTCTACACTCAGTGGACTGCGAGGGAAAGGAAGGGGCTGGGGGAGATTTAACAAAATCGCAAAGCTTCATTACCCATTCCTGATTTCCTGCTAAGCAACTCCAAGGGCTTTGCAAATGCTCCTGCTCCACACATATTCCCCAAGGCAGGAATTGAACACATGTGTTTACATTTCTAAGCAAAATGGTCAAAGTCACATCATCACATGCTGGATTCACAGCTTGAAAATAAAAAACTGAAAGTTATGAATTGAAGTCCCATGGTTTAAAACACTATTTCTAACATCCCTGTTGAAAACAACCTGTCTGTATTTAGGGGGTAGGGAAATTCTCACTCAAGTCAATTCAGTTGGGGCTAATTTGGATACACTGGCATCAGGGAACCAATCATGCTCCAAAACATCGCTCCTAATACAGACAATATTTTAGATTTCAATGTAATTATACAATAGACTAGTATAACACGTCCGTGAATTTTAAATGTCATTGAAGAATAAAAATTCCACACCACATAGAAATGCCAGAAGAGTAAAACAAAAGCAGGAGAGGATTGCTTAAGTTAGTCCACTTTGTCTCTGTGATGATATTTCACACCTCATATCTTCAGGGCATGAAAATCACTACAGAATCGTGATCAAAAACAGCTCAGTGGGAACCGCTAGCTCAGTGCGTCTGACCCCCCTGCACTGCTGTGGCTTGGAGATAAACAACCTGTGTCTGCCCAAAAGGCAACTTTGAGAAAACACAGTTTAAAAAAAAGGGAAAAAAAGGACCTATTCAGCTCACAGGGCATTTTTTAGTATTGAGAAAACACTGAAAAGATAAAAGTACATTTTGTATCATGCCTAGGTCCTGAGAACACCACTTGCCAGGTTTTGTTTGTCAATTTACTTTTATCCTTATCACCTTCCCCGGTGGGACACAGGGGCTGGACAGTGTCTTTTGTTAGGACCCTGCCAGCCCTCCCATCCCTGCACGTGGCTGTGAGGGCCCCAAAGCTCTGGAATTCCCTCCCGCGCTGGAATGAGATGGTCTGAATCCAGTGACCTCCTGGGTTCACTCCTAGCTCTCTGTTAACAGAGCACTGCGGAGTCACCGGGAGGGAAAGGAGGAACTACCTGGGGGCAACAAGAATTTGCAAGGCTCATCTTCAAATTAAAACACTTCCTTGTGTTTTATGGCCAGACATACATAACAATTACAGAGTTGCTTTTTTTAAAAAAAAAAAAAAAATACAGATGTGGAAAGGAAAGAAGAAAAAGGCAACAACCCCAACCCAGAAGCCTACAAGCAAATCCAGTCTGAGAACTCCAGCAGCAGCTGGCAATAAACATTACTCAAACAGAAAGAATATAATCCTCCTTAAAAATAAAATTATCCATCACACTCTGGGAGAGCACACCTGGCATATCATTGCTTTTTATTTCACTGAAACCCCAGAATATATCAAACACTCAGGAAAGAGGGCACTAAGGGGAGAATTTGAGGCTTGGACACAGCAGCTTCAAGTACCAGAACCCATTTTGGAGCTGGGCTGCCTCGGGAAGGCAGGGTTTAATTAAAGCCCCTCTGCCGACTGCTGAGTCCATAAATCACCTCCAACCAGCCCCACCAACGGCGCTTCTTATACTTCTGCCGTTAGGGCTGATTTGCTACAGCTCTGTGATAGCAAAAATAACGTTTTTTTGAATGTCATCACCTCTGTACCAATTAGTAAGTGCTGGTTCATTTATTTTTCTGCGTATAAATCTGAAACACTAACAATGCAGAAAAACTTTAGCTTTTTGTTCAATGTAATGGGGTTTTCTAATACACTCCCAAAGACTTTTTCATGTATCATATAAAATAGGTGAAGATCATAGTAAGGTCACTTTTCTGTACACTAAACTATGACTGTTTGGGGGGTAAACCACCACAATAAAGTATCGACCAAAACAGCCAGCAACAATTATCCTAGCTACGGGACGAATCTAAAGGCAAAAGTGTGACCTCCTCCAACGCTGGGGGACTGCAGACGTGATACTCACTATTGTGAGTGGTAGATGTCAGGATAATGAGACTAAAGGTCCTGATGGTTTCAGATCAGCTAATCAGTTAGCAAGTTAATACCCCAGGCAGGGGGCAGTGCTGTTTTGATTTTGCTGGAATACAACACACATCATTTATTCACCTACGCACCCACTAAACCTATGCCTTACATGCCAGTTATTCCAGGTAGATACATGCAAGAAGTAAAAATATGAATAAAATTAAATCATGCTATTTTACAAAGTGCCAAGTATCAAAGCTTGCCCATGCATTTCACTTCTCATTTAAAACGTGCATAAAATTTGCTTCCAATATTCTCTTACTCTAGAGACACCTACTCCCAAGAATGCGCAATTCCTTTACAACATCATTTCCAATTAACAAATTTATGCTCATTTAAATAAAAAGATTAATGCATGGAATTTCCTGTAAGATTACTGATCTACAAATTCTAGTACTTTATCCCACCAGAGTAGTCATTATTCAGTGATTCAGAAGAGAATAGAAATATGAGAAAAATTTGCCCAACTAACTGTGAAATGAAAAATTCCAGTGATCCTGTGCAGGAATCATCTAAAGCTCATGGATCAGAAATAATTTGCTCCCACTATTGCTGGCATGCTACTCAAAAATACCCTTGTTTTTGCTCTCTTTTCTGGCAGCGAATCCTACCTACGGAAAGGAGCTGCACACGAGGCACGGAGTGTTCCCAGGAGGGGAGAAGGAAACAGCGCTAGAAAAAGAGGGAAGATGTCAGATTGGCCTTAGAAGGAGAGCAGCATTTGGTAGCAAACAAAAGAGCTGGCTAGTCAAGCCTGGCCTAAGAAGACTATTCTAAGCTTGTCACAGCAAATTGAAACATATATTCTCCTTCAATTTGCAAAGCATGCAAGTGTGACAAAGAGTCAGGAAAATGACTCCAAAAATTCCTGTGGATTAGTATTCACCCCCTTCCATCTATTCAGAATTCAAAGGCTACAGCCTTTGTATTATGATAGTGTCAGTTCTGCAAAACTCCAAGAGCCAAAAATCACATAGCATTTGGTCTTTTCTCTTACTTCTCCACTTCCAACATAATTTTAAAAACTATTTGACAGCTTTGTTAATGCTTGCAGAGAAGAGCACCCTGTTTTTAATGCTCTTCTTTGAGACATACCCACCTATACGAGCATTCATGCTGTATATGTATATACATGAAAGCATGTGAGACCATTTCTGCTTCAGCAAAACACAGAAGTACATTGACAACCTGTTCTGCTGCTACACATTGCCCACAGGCACAACAGACAGGACAGGTGACACAGTCCATGCCCTCATTTTCTTCAAGGTCTTAAGCACAATTCCTGGAGACTTCCAGGAAGAAGACTGGAATGCTGCCTGTGAATCTTTAAAAACCCACATTCTGGGGAAAAAAAAAACAACACATAAGGCAAGAAACACATTGTGTTCCTTACGAAATACCACTAGCTGGAGGGGAGTTTCTGAATCCATAGATAAAGAAAGACCAAAACCGACTCTCTGAAAGTCACTATCACAGCAGGGAGCTGCAGCCAAGGCCTGCAGCGAAGGGAGCGTGGAGGGAGGTGCCAGGTGGCAGCTCTCCAGATCACGGGCGCAGAAACAACAGGGAAGCAAGCGATGATGTGGGAGCTGAGCTCTGAGTGCTGAAACGGCTAGGGTGAAATGGCCTCATCACAGAATCCTCAATAAACAGCTATCCAAAGAGATTACATCCTGTGGGTAGAGACACCAGGAAACAAGGAATCTTCCTGGAGGACCTCGCCCGACATCAACAGCCCAGAAGGCAGCCTGGGCGCAGGGAATGCAGTGGTGCTCAGCATCCGGCTCCCACAAAGCTCTGCCATTTGGGACACAGAATCTGCAGCCCACAGCGTGTGTCCAGGGCAGGAGCTTCCCAGTGACACAGCACTAGCTGGGTCGGTGGCCTTGACACATTAAAAGCTGAAACACTCCCCCCACGGTGGTGTTGTTGCCAGGGGGGAATTTGGGCACTTTCTCATACCCATGGGGAAGATCTGGCTGCTAGGGCTGATGGTAGGTATTTTGCTCTCCTTCAGGTCCACAAGCTTTCTCAAACCAATGTCAACATGCAGACAGTACTACGAACAAGAGAGAAGCCACAGGCACTAACACCTGCACTTCACTTATGCTCAAGAACAGATGCTTGTTCTGGTGCTGCGGCAGAACTAAGGCTCACAGATGGTGCCTAAAGTCTCTTGCTTGTCCTTCAGCTTCAAAGAGCCCCAGCAGCCACCAGTATTAACAACAACGGACTCACAATGTTCTGGATCAGAGCTTAAATGGATCGTGCCTGAGGTGCCAAAGACAGTGCACTTCAGAACAAGTCCTGCTCTCACTGCTTCCTAAGAACTCCCAGCTGCAGACAAGGGCAATGGTTTCTTCCAGAGTAAGTGCTTGAAGCTTTTATTGCCTGGCCTCTGGAAGTAGCAGAATAAGAGTAATGTACCCTGGGAAAGCCCCTGTCGCAGCTGGGATTCCCACAGTAGATGTGTCCTTCAGGTGATTCCTCCAAGAGCAGCCTCTCCTGAAGAAACGGACTGAAAGAGCAGCAACAACAAACAAATCACTAAAGTGGATCAGAGGAACCAGAGGGAGGGCCAAAGAAACAGAGGTTCTAAAATAACAGGAAAAAACATCCTAGGAGGGAACGACATCTGGAGGCTGAGGAAGCGAGGAGCTGGGATGGCAAGCTGATCAAGTTATAGCACAGCACAC